TTTAAAAGTATTTAGACTTTCACGAAGCACTCGATATGGATATTATCTGAGAGATAAATGAATAGAACTATAAAAGAGTTGCTGAATTCTAAGTTCAAGTATAATCCAAGAATGTGGGGGGTTAAATTTAATGCTTGTGAACTTGAAATGGAAAGTTCAAAACTTGTGGATACAACATTACTAAATTGTATATATATTCCTAACTGAGGAATTGTGGAGGTAACTCAATTTAACAGTTACGTTTGCTTCTATCTTATAATCAAGAACGACATCTATGAAGGTGGAAAGATAGAAAACCCTTATACTAATTATAAGAATAATATATACTAAGTCTAAAGTGGATGAAATGAGTTGTAAAGTCGATTATGACGTTTGTTTAGACATGCAAGAACAATTGGAATATATGAAGAATATTCATAAAGTTCAAATGTATGGTAATATTTTAATGATGATATTGAATACTCATGATTCTGAAATCCACTAATAAAAGTGATTAACTAGTGTAGTATTTAATAGAAATCATCTAACAGTATCTAGAAATTGATAAAGCTTTAGATAAAGCTAATGATGCATATATTTTCATGAGAGGATTTCTTGATGGCGACAATTTGTATCTATCAAATAAATCGATCATTGGCTAGCAATATTTGATAAGATACTAAGTCACATGTAATGGTAGGTCTAGATGTATAAGTCATGGACGTAATACCATTAAGCAAATGATTTCAGTAGTGTAAACTAATGGTACCTTTAAGAGATTTATCGAGAGATCAAGTATACTGCATATCGAAAGGAATGAGATTGAAACCTACTACGTTAGAGTCTTTATAATGGTAACCTTACCTTATTGACTGGAGATCCCAAGATCTTGGTTCAAAGGGACTATTAAGTTATGAGGATTCCATGAAACACTAAGAAAAATAACTTTCTAACTCATTCCTACGATATTAAAGTGCTTTCTGGAGAGTTGCAAGAGGTTAAGATAATCTTTTAATAATTCCTATATCTTGATTAAGTCAAGTGGAGTAGGGCATATTCTTAATAGGAGGTCACCTATGTGAGTGTGAAGTGGGGCCGCTACGATGAGAATTATTTAAGGCTTAAATTCTCTAAACACTTGCAGAACCAAGAAGAGTTCAGGGCAAAAATGAACCAAGTTATGAGAACCATGAACGATTTAGGGAAGACATTGTGTGAGTATCGTTGTCTTGGCTTACACTAAAGGCTGAATAGTTCAAGACATCACGTTCACCAATTAGTCGAATAAGTCCGATGGTATTTCACTAAGGGGGATTTAAGGCCAAAAGTTACCATCCCTGATGCAGTATTTTTCGCTCTCTCTACTAGTGTCCGCATAGATATTTGCATTAATTTTTATTCATGTGGGGGATTGTTGGAATTTTGCTGAAAATTTTGTATTATTTGGTGAATAGAAAATTAAGCCAAAATTTAAATCACTTAAATACGTGAGTTATTGAAAAAGTGCGTAGAATATTATGAAATATTTTAGAAATTATTTGGCTGAAAATGTGTTTTTTTATATGAAAGATTATGAGTTTTAGTATTATCATTTTTCAAGAAACATGTCTCTTTAAATATAGAGACTGATTCCAATAATTGTGTCACTTCCATCGGTTGTGTTTTTTAAGACAAATATTTTCAACATCTATATATTGAATCCATATGTTTGGATTAATTTATTCAGAAATTCCATTCCATTTCATATTTTACACTTTGCTATGCATAAAATACTTTGTAAAAGTGATTATCTTTTGCATCAAAATCATGGTTATGGTAGAGAGGGAATTCCGTACGAGTTCACTGGTCGAAATCATTTGGAGTGCTCCTATGGCTTAACGTAGTCGTTGTATCTTGGGAGATAATTGTCGGAAAACCGTTACACCGATGCGGGACAAATTCATATTAAGGAAAGAGTTATACTTACCTCGGCCAATAGCATCACTTGCATCTATTTTTTTCTTATTTTTGATTTCATTTCTTCATATTTGATTTTAGAAAATGATTAATTTTATTTATATAATTTATGCAAGGTTCGATATGAAGAATCATATGTTTTAATTCAAGAATGGAAATGATCAGATTTGATAACCATTGATTAGTTTCTCAAACTCCATTTCAATAAGTCCAAACCTTGTTTCGATTTCGTGAACGTGTAAGTTACGTTTTGTTAATATAATAAGCACATTTGAATTGATGTATTCCCCAACAAAATACAAAAAACATTCTTCAATATGCAAGTTTGGACTGTTGTTCTCAACAAAACTGGCCTTTGAGATTGTTAAGCGGCAGGCCACTTATGCGCACTTGCTTCCGTACTTTAGTTCAGTGCCCTTTTGTAGGTGAATCAGTATATGACCCAAATTGCTTCGACAGATACGAAAAGTAGAAAAAGCTGAAGGGCTTTCCAAATGTTGAGATTTCTCCATACAAGGCTTTGTTCATTGGTAAATATATCCTTTACATTTGGATCGATGTGAAAAGAATGGAGTTCTTCTAATTATTTTTGGTCGATTCTTGATCGAGTACACTATTTAGAGAGGTTTTTTTTTTTTAAATATTAAAAAAGAGGGTCTTTTAGAAGATATCTTAAAAGATGTATTTTCATCTTGTAGCACATAGAAAACCGGCAAAACCTCAACGCAAAAGGAAGCCCCAATAGCATGCGATTCTAATGTGGGAGAATGTGATTCCCTCTACATTTACATTTTTGTCGCGTTTATTAGATGAATAGTGATAAGAGTTGAATTCAATTTCATTATCTTCTCTCAAATTATAATACAAGTGTATTAAACGATGAAGAGCCTCTCTTTTTTTCTTTTTTTTTATTTTGGCGGAATTATTGCTCTTGTTAGAAGAATTTTTTGAAAAAATTACCGTAGACTAGCTTCCAAAAAATTTATTCAAATTTGTTCAAAAGCATATTCTTAGTTTTATAAACAATTTTGAACTTTTCAAAAACACTAACAAATGAATCAAAATATAATAAGAAGTCGTTTATGTGTCTCAGCTATATGTGTGTGTGTGTATATCTCGTAATAATATGCATGGCAAAAAGTAAAGAGGATAATGTTCTAAGGGGACCTCGTCAATTTATGACAATTGCAACATTCTTCATACGTAAGACCTAAAAATGACATCAACTTTATTAGCTATTGCACAAACAAATTTGAAAACCAATTACCATTTTCTTTAGGAAATAAAGAAAAACATATAATTAGAAGTTACGTGACAAGATAAAGGCTTACAAGAGAGGACTTGAAATTGAGAATGATAAGTTTTACTCGATAGTCTAATTAAAAGAAAACATATTAGACACTTAAAAAATGCTTTGTGTTGGGCTCGTCATCTCCCTTCTCTTTTTTTCCAAACTTAAGAAGATCTGTTTTTTAGTAAATTTTGATAAAAGTTGATAAAATGTGTATTTGAAAAACTAATTAAATTTGTGGATCCTACAGAATATGTTGTTGAAATTAATTGTTAATTTTGACTTAAATTTTTATCGACTTTTTAAGCTACATCAAACAGAGGATAAGCGTAACAATTAACTAAAAAATTTATTATTATCACGTGTTACCCATGTGATTACAAAATTCTATCCTATTATTGTTTGTGGCTTTCCATTTTCATTTGGGAACTAGATGCCACGAATCTTGTTATGGAGAAAAGAGATCCGAATTGGATAAATCCGATTTCCCTCTCCAACTCACAAGATTCTTCCTAGAAAGATACATCACAAAGTTATTTGGATCACATTTTGATCTTCTTATTGATTGCAAGCATATAATTTTCATGGGAAGAAAATAAATTTTATATAATTCAATTGCCTAAAACTTATTTGTCTGAAAATTATCAATTAAATGTGTTTGATTAATTCAATTTTCAACATAAAAATTATTATACTTGTTCTATTTTTATTGATGGGTAGATGAGAGAGAGTGGATAGATAAAAGAGAGAAAAAGATAGTGAATTTCCTAAAAAAGAAAATGCTACTTCCCTTAAAGAAAATATTTTTCTTGATTTTGAGGAAAATATGGTCACATGACCAAAAGTAGAAAAGTATTTTTCATGAAAAAATGTCAAGTCAAACAGCACAAAAGTAGGAATTTGAATGGAGAAACACATTTTTCAGAGAAAATATTAGCAATCAAACGCATCTTTAAATTTTTTAATAAATTACCCACACAAATACAAAATATATTATTTACAAAAATCGAATGTTAGGATAAATGTCTAAAAATTGATCAAACTCCTTCTCAAATAGATTCGAACCTATAATCGATCAATTTATAACAATCAAATGAGATTATTTATTTATTTTGAGGAAAATGACCTCAAGGAAGTAGTTTTTCGTTATGCTAAACTGAATTATATAAATGGATAAGTATAATCGGGTACAAGTGACACAACAACCAAATGAATAGAATCAACCCAATTCTGAATAATCAAGGAAGAAGTAATGAAAGAAGAAAGATTATAAATTATTTTCGTTATATAAGAACAGGCGAAGACAATAATAACAACCCTTCCATAAGAGAGCTGTGTTAATGTACTAGGAGCAAAGAATTACGTTAATTGTACATTATTTGTGTACACTTGAATGATATTTGAATATGTAGCAAAACTGGGGTATTGTTTTAAGTATTAGAAAAAAAAATTAAAATAAATGAAGAACTGAATGTAAATCTTTATAATTAATTTTTTTATCATATAATAATCATTTAATGATAGATTAAATCGAAGCCGTACAAAAGTTGAGTATGTGACAATATCCGTATGCAGAGATTCGTTATTGTGCAACTTTTGCGGTACGACACATCAATCCCTATCAAATCAAACATCAAATTTTACTACAAAAGAATTCAAAATCAAAATAATCTAATCTAAACAAATTCCTTCAAATCCAATGTTATCCTCGCCTTTGCCAGATAAAAACTTGTCCCCACAAAAATTCTATATAAATGTCCCCATGCAGTTTCCATTTTCCTCACAGCAAAACCAAAGTACTTCAGTACTCTCCTAGCTTTCTTAAGTAAGTACACCAAAAAAATAAGCAATATTCTAACTTTTTTGTAAGTACTTTTGTGTTGCATCAATGGATAGGGTGAGCAGTATTGTGTCAGAAAATCCAGTGGTGATCTTCAGCAAGAGTTCATGTTGCATGAGCCACAGCATCAAGTCTCTCTTCTGCGATTTCGGCGTAAACCCGGCAGTTTTCGAACTGGACGAGATCCCGAGAGGCCGGGAAATCGAGGCAGCTATGTCGAGGCTTGGCTGCAACCCGACCGTCCCGGCGGTGTTTATCGGCGGCCAATTTGTTGGTGGAGCTAATGAGGTCATGAGTCTTCATCTCAAGAGAAAATTGAAGTCAATGCTCAAAGAGGCTGGTGCTTTATGGGTTTAAAAATTTTTTGCACCTTTCTTTTCAAACTATCCGGCACTAATAATAATAATAATAATTAATTAATGCATTTCTGTTGCATTAATTTGATGGTAGTAAGAAGTCGGATTAGAGTGTAGTTTTAGAGTTGAGAGGGCATGAAGTTTTCCTAACCATACTAACTAGCAATAATGTGTGCTTGTTAAATAAGCAACTTTTTTTGCTGAAGCTACTTATGCTTTTGATTAGTTATAATAAACTTCATGTTTGATTACTTAAAATCTTTTTCATAGCACGTTCAGCGTGTTGAGCACGTTCGATCCAACAAGCATGAGGAGAACGAAATCACAAGTTTTATTAAAAATGATCTCTTCTTCATTTGAACATGTTATAAGCTCATCTAATTTATCGAAGTAATCATTTATAATTTGAATCATGTTACAAGCTCATCTATTTTTGAGCCTTTAATTTCCTTTTATCATTTTTATAACAATTTTAGTGCGTTTAGTTGCAATTGATTCGATGGATCATATCAAGTCAATCTTGTCTAGTTTAACATAACAAACATGCTCTTTAAAGAATGTTTAGTGTATAATTGGTCTCGAATGGAGTTCAAAAGACTATATATTTGAAAAGTTACACTATTTTCTCCTTTTTGAATAAGTTTTATATGTTTGTGAGTATATTCAAATCAACAAGTCTAAATATACCATTCGCAAATTTTCTCAAAATGTTATTTTCTTTGATCATATTTAAATAATTTAATTTACAATACCAACACATGGTCTTAGAAGATGATTAGTATCTCAAATCGCCCTAGAGTTGATATCTGCCGTCCACCCAATGATTCATTAATACATCATTTTAAATTAACGTATTCAATTTTTTTTTCAATCTCACATTATGCGACAATTAATTATTGGATTTGAACAACAAATCTTATCTCCTTATCCGAGGCCAAGTTCGAAAAGCTTGACATAAAAATCACTTGAAATATTTGTTCCATAGTAAATATTTTACAAGAAGAGAATCTGACATCATCACTATGCTAATGCGTGAAATTGCTGATTTGCTTCATGAAAAAGCTATATATAAACGTGACAAAATGCTAGAAATTTCGACCACCACTACTTTTTGAAGAGTCGAATGTTTGATAATTCCATCAGATGTAACATATTTATTCGAAAACTATCATTCTATAATAAATTATTACTGATACAGGGATACGTTTAAATATATGGAGAGACTGCTCCAGGATCTCAAACCTTTCACAAAAGTACAGTGGGTTCCAAAATATTGAGACCAAAGTTCCAAACTTTTAAATTAATATGCACAGCGAGCAGGATCGATCTTGAAATTTTAAGAGACTTATGTCAATTTGAAAACACACACATTATATTTATGAAAAAAGAGCGTAAAAAGAATTATATTACATTAATATTTTTTTCATTTAGTATATTATTTAAAACATATATTTATTTTTTTAATTTTAAAATATCTTGCTTTCAAAAATATATATATATATAATAATAATAATAATTAAATTTATCTATTTTAATAGTCAAATCTCAAATATCCGATTAACTTCATTAACATATTAACAACCCAACAAGATAATAGGCAACCCAAAATCCAAATAATCAAAGTGAAGAGTGAACAGTTAATTCCAGGTCCCTTTTCGTCATTTCTCTCTTATTTACCCTCTAACCCACAAAAACAATCAAACAGAGAAGAAAAGAAACTCTACCGTCATTCTTTGTTCCTTGCTACACAACAATACAATTTACATCTTAATATCGGCATTTTGAGATTTATTTGTATTTTTCTTATTCACAACATGTTAAAAAAAAAAAAAAAATTAATTATCATTTTTTGCAATGAAATAGTATTATTTGGTTTTTTTTTCTTATTGTATTTTTTTATTACATGAAAGGGGCACCATTTTTATATGTTACACAGGGTATTTGAAGTCTCAGGGCCAGCCACGATAATAATTATAAATAAATAAAATTATTTAAATTTATAAAAATAATAATCTAAAACTTTCAAATCTAAATTAAATTTACTCTTCTAAATTTTTGATAGAAATTAACAAATACAATATTGCAATTTATTTTAGAATTTCTCTTTCAATAGATGCCATGTTAATTCATTCAACTTTTCTTATGACATTGCTAACAAAATAGAGGATTTTATCAACTTCACTTTGAGAAATTATTTTTGGCAGATATAATTGTAACAAGTATAGTCAAATAATATTTTAAAAACAATTTATATATTTGAAAAACAATAGTCCATTTTAATATAGTCTAGTACTTCAATCATCATTTTGGTCCTTTCTGACAAACAATTTTTCAAGCTTGCAACTCAAAAATTAACTCTGGTCCATAATATTAGAATTTTTTTAGTGCTTAAAAAATTCTTCAAATTAAACCAAAACTTCAAAGAATTATCGCCTGCAGTTTTCAATTTCTTTAGAATAAAAAATAATTTCATATTTTTTAAAAGGCTAATTAACATAAAACGTCCCCACTTTTCAATGTTTTTGTACAAAACGTCCTTAACTTTTATTTTTTGTTAATTTTACCACCACTTCTACCTTTTATTGCTGAAAAGGTCATTTCATCCACTACCGTCAAATGCTCCGTTAACTCAACAAAAGTTAATTAGTACAAAACATCCACATCTTTCAATGTTTTTGTATAAAACGTCATTGCCTTCTGTTTTTTTGACAATTTCAACCTCACTTTCACAATATTTTTGTTGAGTTAACGGAGCATTTGATGATTGGTGGATGGAATGATCTTTTTTCGTAATGAAAGGTGAAGGAGAGGGTAAAATTACCACAAAATAAAAAGGTAGTGACGTTTTTCACAAAACATTGAAAGGTGGGGACGTTTTGTGCTTATCACCTTTTTTAAAATTATTCAAACTTAACTTAAGTAAAGAAAGAGTCTGATCAAAATATATAAGAAATAATCAACTCTAACAGATTTTTTTTTGTTGAATGTGCTATCTTACTATTGGAATTTTCATCAAAGTATGAATAATATGTTCGTCGTGAAATGTGTGTTCAACTTTCATATGAACAGCAATTTCTTTATCTATTATCTTGTCAGATTCAAAATCAGTTTTTCGATATATTTCAAAAATTAAAATAAGTGATTTTAAGTAACTAATAGCAGTTTTAATAGACATGACCTCACTTTACAACATATTGCTTACTCTATTAATAATTGATATATATTGTACCAAATAATCATGCCAAACAAGAAACTCAACTTTTATAATATCAAAAGATAAACTTTAGGTTCCGTTTGATTGTAAAAGTGAAATTTGGGTTGAAAGAAAATGAATTCCAATGAATTGAATTACCTAGAAATTGTTTTACTGTGAATTGTCAATTATTGTATTTAATTGGTATAATTTTTCACGTGAAAAATGTTGAAATAAAAGTATTTTTTGATGTTCGTTTGACTTTATTTTATATGAAAATTGTCAATTAAAGGGATGTAATTTACAGGTATTAGGAATAGAATTTGTTTCTATTGCCAAAAAAAAATCAAGAAAATCATCTATCTTTTGATGTTCGTTTAACTTTATTTTACATAGAAATTATCAATTAAAGGAAAATATTTTTTTACAATTAGGGATATAATTTGTTTCTATTGCCAAAAAAGGAAAAAAAAAATAAATCAACCAGCATCCTAGAAAATGAATCCTTCATCAATTTAGTGGAAAATAGTTGAGGTGACATGAAAGTGAGAAAATGAATTGCCTAAAAAAATATACCTATCAAATTTTGGTGGATTTCCATTTTCCATGGAAAATGGGCCTTATCAAAGAGACCCTTAGTATTCTAAAGTAGCTTTTTATTTGTGCTACTTGAAATCTAATTGTTTTAATATTTTCAACTTGACTTTCTCAATATGTTTATGATAGTGGCATAAGTGTCAAACATTTTACAATATTATAAAAACAATTTCATCGCTTTATATATACAACACACGTAGCTCTGACCTTTCAAATTATCAATATCAAGTTCAAATATTTTAAAGATTTGGAAAGAAATAAATTAAGAGAGTTACATTCCCTTCAAAATCAATAGTAATGATGGTGATGGAGGCTCTCCCACTTACCATCGGGTGGAATTGGATGTGTTAGGGTTTAGGAGTTGGATTGGGTGATTGTGTGAATCGAGAAAGATAAATATTTTTGTCAATAGATAAATTTTTGGTAGACAACCATTCGAAGTCCTTATGAAACACTTTTATTAAAAGTTTGGGACCTTTGCTGCATATTTTTGAAAGATTCGGGATATCCAATGTAAAATTTACATTTTTTTAATTAATTAAAGGTTAAAACTTATCTTAACATTTTTTAAAATTAGCCCTTGTTTGAGCCCCATTCATTTGGAAAAATATATTTTTTAACAATGTTTTGGCATCATTTTAACCACATATTTTTCAATAAAATAATATTACACACAAATTCAAAATTTTTCCTTATTTTTTAAACACACATTTCCCACCATTACACTATTCAAAAATTTATTTTTCCCAAAAAAAGGGGCTCAAACAAGGGCTGAATCAAATTATGATCAAATGCCCATTTTGGTCAACTGGCGTGGCTCTGCATGGCTTATTCTTTTGTCATAAAGGGCAGCCGTTGAAAAAGAAGCAGCCCAAAGGATTCGTGGAAAGTTTGTCTCGATAGCAAATTGTCTAACTAAGAGTTGATATTTCTTTAATTGAAGAAGAATCAAACTTTCGAAAGATTTGGAACCTTCACTACTACTATTTTAATGTTTGAGCATTAATCTGTACATTTTTGAAAAATTTGGACCCTCACCTACAATTATCGCTAAAATTTATCAATTGCAGTACCATTTGGTCCAGACCGGTGACAGTGCAGAAACAAGGAAGGGACCTTAACAGTTTACAGAGCCTTTCAATTCAGCGAAAATTTTCTTTGCATTATATCAATCGGGTTTTCCGAGCTCCAAGTAGACTATATGCGACCCGCATGTGAATATTTTTTTTCTTTGAAATTTTTCTCGAAGTGTTTTTGAATTGGAAGTGGAGATATGTATAGTGGATCGAGCAATGGCGAAGGGCACGATTCATCGGCTCCGAAGAAAATCCCTCCGGTCTCTTCCATGCTATGGGTCCGAAACCTCCGCCGGTACATCGGATCCGGTGCCGGGCTTGGATCCGAATCCTTAATGGGTCTGTAATTTCCTCCAACTCCCCCATTGGTAGTTGTAATTGTTATAAGTGTA